GAACCAGGATGTGGATGCCTCAAAGCTGCTACCAGAGTTAGCATCTATACAGCTGACCATCATCAAAGGCTTCATTTGGCTCCATGCGGGCAGTGCAGACCCCGTGTGCTTCCGGGTTCGAAAGCTCCAGAGGTGCGAAGAAGAAAGACAAGGCGCTAGTCGGCTCAATGTGGGCGTGCTCGGTGACCGCTGCTGTAAGCTGCTGTAAGCTGCGATGAGTTGACCTGAGTTTGAGTAACGAGCCCAACTGAAGTTGTTTTGTACAGTGTGTGGTGCGGATGCGTTAGTGCATTTGTGTTTTCCCATGGACTAGGGTGTTTAAACTGCGGTTGGTGCCTAACTCTTCCATCTTTGATAAGATGATGTGAGAGGTTCAGCCCAGTCATTTTTTGCGGCAGAATTTGAGTCAGCAGAGCTCAGATTTGCTATGTACTATTTTCCATGGTGGGGCGAAATTTGGATGTCCTGCACAACTAGTGTGTAAAGTTGTCCAAACAGTGTGACGCAGCGATCGCACGACTGTTGTTCAGCAGTATTCCAATGAGCTTGGAATCCTGAGGAGGGGTGCTAAAAGTATGTTTTCCCATGCGTCCCAATTTCATGTGCATGATTTCCATGGAAGTGTCACACAGAACAGGACATGGATTCTCAGGCGCTTTGGTTGGAGTGGAAAAGTTTCGCAGTGCAAGCGCGTGCGTGCTTGCCACATCAAGGGCTGCCAGAGAAATTGTCCGGCTTTTCAACGTGGTGCGCAGGGTATGGTGCCTGACAAAATGCCGCGGAACCAGCTTCGAACTCAGCGGATGGTTTGTGTCCTACTTTGCGTGTGCTGTACCTGTTCTCAGGCGAAAAGCGGAAAGCTGATGTGCGGCATTATTTGCAGGCGTTGTGTGACGAGTTTGGGGTGTCTCTGGTGATGTCCGAACTGGACATTTGCCCAGATCCTGCTATGGACTTGCTTGATGAATCGATCGCAGAGCGAGGCCTTCAGGAAGTTCTTGCAAAGCAATGGGATGTGGTCTTGGTGACACCTCCCTGTGCAATGCTTTTGAGAGTTTGTTTTGTTCAGCCTGGCCCAAAACCCCTGCGATCTAGGCTTTACCTTTTGGGGTTCCCTTGGCTTTCAAATGAATTGCCCGAGCAAGCCAGCCAAGAGATGCTGCGCTGAGTGTTCAATGTGATTTTCTCTTGAGCATCCGGAAGACCTCGGGCTGACCAAGTCAGGCCGCGCCCCAGCTTCAATTTGGCAGGAAAAAGCAGCGAAACAGTTGATGGCTCACGAAGGTGTGTGTGCGCCTTTGCTATTTATCAATGCAAGTTTGATGCTGATTCGCCAGAGCCCACGCGGTTTATGATTTCCTTCAAGGCTGCCGGGCGGATCCCTTTCATGGGTCCACCTAGATTTGATTCTGGTGATCCATACATGGGTGCCCTTCCAAGGTACTGTGGCCGCAAAGATCATTCTTTCTTGGTTGGAATGGACGCGTCTGGAAGATGGAAACAGCACCTGCTGCAGCATACCCTCCGAAGCTTTGCGAACAGATTGCGAAGTGGGCTTTCTCCGTGTTCGACAGTGGGAGGGCAGAGCCCCACACGCGGTCTGGAGATACTTCTGGCAACGGCATTACTTTCACTTTGGAGCCTTGCGAACAAATTCGAGAACAAGTCATGGGTGGTGATGCTGAAAACCTGGCTGCCAGTGTCCTCAGAACAGGGCAAGCTTCTGAAGGGCAGCTCCTTGATCTTTCCGATCTCTTGCCCGATGAAGACAGAGTGAGAGAGTCAGTGCTGTGCATCCCAAGCCAGAGGTCGTTCACTATAGTAGCGTGTTGCCATCATGGAAAAGTTGGCTTGCGTCGTAACATGAACACCTTTCCTCTCTGTTCAGAGCTGTTGGCAAAATTGATTACTTCTCACTTCCCTGGAGAACCAATTACTGCACTGGCATTTTTCAAGGACATTAGTCAGCCCCATCACAAGGAGAGCCTTTTGAGAGTAATTTGCTTGCCGCCATACGCGGCCTTGTAAATGTACTGTGCCTAACACGCTTCCTGGCTCCTTGATGTCGGTCTTCTACGCCTTGCCGAGTGTGTAACTTGCTTCCGTGCGAAAGCTTGATTGCCTGGCATTGAACAGCATGGACTTTGTTGGTCTTCCGAACTCTTTCGCCATCGCCCTTACGCTCAGGTTCACCCGAGTTCGATTGCGCCGCCCTTGAAACTTGCTGACGCGTTTGGCTTTGGGACTCGATCTCAAATCTACCGTAGTAACGCCTTCCTGAGCATTGTTGGGTGAGTCCCTGACCTCTGTGCCTCTAAACTGATCTGATAACCTCCGACCCTCATGCTGGCTCGGCTCCTCTCTCCGCCTTGGGTGCTTGTCCGGTCTCTCGCTGTCCTTCCTCCTCTGAACCTTGGTGGACTTGTCATGAGCTTTAACACTTGTGCGCTGGGCTGAATGGAAGTGCCTGCGCAGATTCCTTTTTCTGGTAAGTGTGACTTAACAACCTTTCAAGCATCGGCGAAGAACCTGGAAGGGTGGAGCTGATTGCCTTGAGATGACTTCAATCCCCCTTCTTGGCATTTGTGCATGCCTGTGGATAGCTGCTTCACGCAAAGCAGGACGATTCTTGGTGTTTAGCCCCCTTGTAGGTGGCCATGATGATTCATTGACGGAGCCGGCCTGTTTGATAGATGCTGTCTAAAAGAAGAAATGATGATCATGCAGTACTGGAGTGTCAGCGTGGCGACACTCTCCTCTTGCTGAGATCTGACTTCTTGGGCATCAATTGGGCCGTCTGCGTGCATTCACATATGCCTATCAAATTGTGTGTGAGTGCAAATACTTGTCAGGATGATTATGAGCTAAGCCCGCCTTGAGCCTGCAATTGCGCTGACAGAATTGTGTGTCTGTCCATTGACTTAAAAGGTACTTGAGTGCGGCGATTTTTCACTACTACGGCTACTGAAATCAGTGGCTTCATCTGAATAGCAGTTTCGGTGAACGAGCACATGTTTAGCTGATGCGATAGTGCGCTCGCGAAAAAAAGGACGCGACGAATGGCACGCAAGCTGGCGCACGAAGCTAGAGATAAAGCCACAGCACCTGCAACAAAGAGCACGTGTCACGTTCACGTTCAAACCGTTTATCAAAATGAAAGGCATTGTCCGAATGTTACGTAACTCATTTTTCGGCCTTGCAAGCGTAAGAAAATACAAAGGTTCAATGTGAAGAAAGTAATTCCCAGGTGCCAGAAGATCCACCAAAGTCCACACAGAGGTCGATTGACAAGGTGTTTGATTGCAAAACATTCTCTGAATGACTTTCTAAAAGCACGTACAAATCCTCCACCTTCGTCTCCAGGGCCGCCTGCTTAGGATCTTGCTTTGAGGTCGGTGACGTGCAAAGCTTTGGGCTTTGGCTAGCTGCAGGCTATGTTGTCTCCGTCATTCTTCAGCCGTCATCTTTGCTGTGGTTGCAACGAGACAGCGAGGCCTTAAACCTTTCAGTTCGGGAAGCAACGCGGTCCCCAACCCGTAGAATCGACGGCTAAATTCTGCCCCAGCATACACCAGCAAGCTAAGAGCGGAGATTTACGTGTGCCATGCCAGATTACCAAAATCCAAATCCAAGGGTAGGAGGGTTGCGGTCAGTGCTGCCCCTGCAAAGGGTTTTATGTGGCCAACCACATTGACACGACACCAAAACGAAGCAAAGCGCTCGTCTTGAGTGCTGCTTGATGTACCCGTAGGTTAGGAGTTGCTTTTTCCATTTTGCGCATTTCTACAGATCAGCAGTATTTACGGATAGGATGTTTGAACATACGGTATTCTGTTGGTGCGGCTATCATGTAGTGCCCAAATGTTGAACGGCAGTGTCGAATTTGATTGGTGTTTTGACACGTGCGAACTCCATTCCTCAAGGGGTGCGCAAACCGCATCTTTCAGCATTGCCAGGCGCTACACATGCACTTTTACAAACGTCCATCATGCAGGGCAACGGGCGGGTGATCTTATGCGGATGACCTTGTGAGTTGATCTTTGCGTTGCGTGCAAAGCCCTGAATTGGCAAGGCTTTTGGCAAACATGGGGTTAAAATCACCAACATCGCATGCGTCCCATGCTAATTGCATTTTGCGATTTTGTTTGCCATCCCGGTCATAAACGTAGACAACTCGAATTTGTGTTCTGCTTTTGGACAGCGCGAGGCTTTTGGCTTCATGTTTTGTCTCCGCACAGCCAGGCCCTACAAGTAAAGAACGTCTTGTTGGACAGATTCGGCCTTGACAACGTATAAAACACTCCAAGGTCACTTTTCGTGACAGTTTACTAGATCCCTCATCCCATAGCGAAGGTTTGGCAAATCGTGATGTTCGTGCACGTAATGCAGGCTTGATTCCGTGCAAATCGTCAGAATTCAAGGTGTTTGCATGATCATCAGGCGGAGTGATGGTGGTGGTTGTGGTGGTGGTTGTGGTGGTGGTGGTGGTGGCGGCGGTGGTGGTGGTGCTGCTGCTGCTGCTGCCGTGGTTGCCGGTGCAGAGGCAGTGTCTTGTTGGGTACGCGTGCAATGCCGTAGCAGTAACGCCACCGCAGAAGGAATGGGCAACAAAATCATTGTGTTTGCGCATGCTTGTTATTGTTGAATTGGGCTCTGTGGCATCCAATGTGATGCGGAATCAGATGAGTTTACAAACTTCATGATCTGCAGTTCAGTACAATATGCCGGAGCGCTTTTATGGACAGGGCGATAGGTTGACAAGATTCAAAATATGAGTGATTCGCGCGAAACTTGGAAATGCGGCACATGTTGCCATGCTAGCACCCACCAGTGTTCTTTATAATACTCACACTGTGTTAAAACAGATGTCACTTGTGATTGTGGGTAATCAATCATAGCGACAGTAGTGCTTGTGATAAAACGTGGTAGTTCGTGATGGCAATAGATGTGAAACATGTTGGCGTCTTCGAAGTACGAAGAGGACAACCTCAAGAACGGCCATGCGGCAATTTGGGGTTCGTTCTATTGCTGCTCGGCATGCAAGACCAGCAGGCTTTGAAGGGGTACTTTGCAAAGAGCTTTTCCATGTTTGGGTTGTCATTTTTGGATTTTGCTGCTGTTTTGCAAAAATTGATTCGGCTGCCTGGATGGAAGGCGTTGCTACTCACCGGTGGGGCTACGCGTGCTGTCTTCTTTGTGAGCGAGATGCGGAATGCGGCAGGGTGCAGGTCCTCCGACCCTTGTCTAGCAGGCTTTCTGCCCGGAATGTACGTTCCACTTAAACAGCATGAAAACACGGACGCCAGAGGGATTGAACAGGCAGGATAAAGCAGGAAGGGTTGGCAAGGATCGGTTGTGACAAGAGCAACAGAAGCTGTTGAATAAATTTGTTATGGTTGATGATGTGCCGAGTAAACATGACTGGCCACAGCAACAACATTTTTTGAGAAACTCTGGAATGCATCCAGTTCAGAGAGTGTGAAAGCTAAAAGGTGAAAGTGTATGCTGCCCGATTTCTTCAATTCTTGCATGCCAGGTGCCGGCTCTTGAGGGCCCAAGCGGTGCAGAAAGTGTACCAAGCAAACCTGGCAACATTTCTGGTGCACCTGCTGCAGTTCCTGCAGTAACAGATGCAGAGGACAGCAGTTCGTATCCAACGTTATGACTGAATTGCCGCATGCCCCAGATTTCTGCGAGGAATGGACACCCGACTCATCACGTTGCGCTGCCGAGCTTTTGAGGATCTTGAAGACGGATGCGAAGAAGCCTTTCGAGGCTTTTGCAGCATCCAAAATTCACAACGGATTTGCATGTGCGTGATTTTTCAAAGGTGTTGGGCCTTGCCCCAGCCAACTGTACCAGCTATGCCGTGAGGCCAGGCCAGCTCAAATCCTTTGTGTTGGCTATGATTGCCACCTTACTTGCATCGACAGTAGATTCAGAACTGCATGTACTGTGTACGTTGTTGCAGCACTTGGGTGAGGAATGCGTTCCGTCGATTGGCACTTCTAGTTCATCCAGACAAAAACCCCGGGGACGAGGCGTGCGCCGAGGTACTGCTGTCCGCTCCACTCTGAGTTGTGGTCTTTGCAAGGAACGTTGTCACCGGGCGCTACTCCTTGCACAGGGCGCGCGTGAGGCCACAAGCTATCGAATCCGAAAAGATGGTTCAACGTCGGGCATTGTCGAAGGCTGCTTTGACGCTACTTGCTGCGCCTCGTCCTGCAGAGGCCCCGGCCCTATCACGCCAAGCTCAAGCGATGCTAATCCTGCATTGCCTAGGCGCAAGTGCCGGTGGAGAAGCAAGCAAGGGGCCCCACAGTCACGCGACCCAGGTTCCTTGCAAGGCCGTTGTCTTCAGGCACTCAAGAGATGGCATTTCAATTGCCAGGGAGCGAGCTCCTGGCAAAGAGCCGCAGAAGCGCAGCGAGTTTGAGACGGCTGAGGCAGATCCTTCAGTGAAGGGCCGAGGTCCCTTCAAAGGGGTAAATAGGGTTATACTGGGGTTATTTTGGGACAATGGAAAAGAAGCTGGAAACTACTATTTAGGGTTTAGGGTTTAGGGGCTTTCAGTTGTCCAGCGCGTTTGGCAGTGACCTCAAACCCTAAACCCTAAAGCCTAAAGCCAAAACCCTAAAATTTATCTGCTGAAGGCCTTTGTAGTGCACGCTCTGCAGTACGTGCTTGCAGGGCTCACAGCCGGCAGTTGGGTTGCCTCAGCCTGCGTGCTACACTGCGCTACCGTTGTGTTATAGTCCCCCTTAAATAGATAGACTATGGGATATATGGGGAGCTTATTATAGTATACCCAAAGCCAGATTTGTCTGACCTACTTAAGGGGGACTATACAGCTAAGGACGAATGGTACCGCTTCGTAGACCTTGCGCTGGCGGGTCCAGAAGCGCAGAAGCGAAAAGAGGTGAAACCAATCCATGAAAGCTTCTCAATTCATATGAACCATAGTCTAAACTCCTTAAATGGGGTTATATAGGGGATTAGATAGGGGACTACTATAGGGGTTATCAAGGGGGATATTAGGAGTTTGGACTATGGCTCATATGGAGGTTTCCCAAAATTAGGGGTACTCTTTTGGGGATCTCCATTATAAGGGGCTTCAATATTTGGAGGTCTATATTGGGGTCCTCCTATTTTGGGAAACCACCATATCGCCATGTCGGCTGCTTATCCTTTCCCAGCCCTGGTGGCTCTTGCAAGGCATCTGCAAAGCGAGCTGCGGCAGCCGCAGCTGCCGGTGGAGCAGAGGGTGTGTTGAGGCATGCTCCCTTAGGTTTTAGGGTTTATAGTCCCCTTAAGTAGATAGAATAAGGGATATATGGAGATCTTATCATAATAGTCCCCCTTAAGTAGAGAGAATATGGGATATATGGGGATCTTATCATACTATACCCAAAGCCATATTCTATCTACCTAAAGGGGGACCGTGGCCCCTAAACCCTAAATAGTAGTTTCCATTTTCTTTTCCATTATCCCTATATAACCCCAACCTTAAACCCTAAATCCTAAACCCTAAACCCCAAACAGAAGTTTCCACTTTCTTTTCCATTATCCCTATATAACCCCAATACAACCCCTGACATTCTATCTACTTAAGGGGGACCTTCGACTTGAGTCAGCCCACTTTGTCATGTCGCCCTTAGCCAGGTCCGAAGTTGCCTTGCAGCAGACGACGAAGTCAGTGAAAGCCCTGCAAAAGCTCCTGAACAACCAGGACGTGTTGTAGGGGGATGTGGTGGGGGGGGGGGGTTTAGGGTTTGGGGATCAGCGTAGATGGAAAGACATCGAAATTTGCACGTAAATTGGGGGGTTTATAGTGAAGTATAGGGTGTAGGTTCCACTGTTCCACAAGGAACATCTTATGGGAATTCCCCAAAATAGGGGGACCCCAATATAGACCCCAAAATACTATAGTCCTTATTATGGGTGCCCCCACAAAAGTACCCCTAATTTTGGGAAACTACCATATGGACCCTAGGCTTGTACGAGCTAACCTCGATGTCATTCATCCCGGCAGGGCGGACACAAGTTCCTGGCGGCGATGCAATACTTTGGTCCGTGTGAGCTATAGTCTACACTCCTTAAAGGGGGTTGTATAGGGATTATATAGGGGACTGCTATAGGGGTTATCAAGCGGGATACTAGGAGTTTAGACAATGGTTCATTTAGCATTTTCCTTATATCGCAAGTCCTGACCCTAGCTAAGCCCTACATGGACACGTGAGACGTTGGTTTGAAGGTGGAAAATACTAGTACGAGGCATTCGTATAACATCAACATGTTTCATCGTAAGAGTACCAATCACCGCAAGAATTTAGTGTCTAGGGTTTACAGCAGATTGATGCTGATGTGCAGACGACTGGCTCTTTCATTGTCACGAGGAGCTCGGCGAGGAGATTGTCAGGAAAGTCGAGCGCGTGACCTGTAGCCGGTGCGAAGATCGGGGTGAAGACAAAGACCCCTTTAGTGCCTGACAGGGCATTTTAGAACAATGGTCGTTACTTGAAGGCAAGAGCGAAGAGGTCTGAGGTCTGATACGTCTCTCGTCTGATCTTCAGTTCCTGTTTTGGACTTCCATTTGCGGTGGCTTGAGGTATGTGGCGGGATGCTCGAGAAGGAATATGCCGATGCAAATCAGGCTTCGTGTGCACGTGAAGGCATATGACATAAGCTGTCAGAGGTCTGCAGGAGTGTGGTTGAGCTGCTCCCCTTTAGTTTCAACAGTTCTTTCTGAATTTATCGTTTGTTAGTGTCATTATTCTTAAGTTTTTGTCTCAATGGTTGGTACGTCTTCAGCCTACGAGACCGCGCGTGCAGTTCTTCGTTGCCTTGCTTCTGAAGCCTGAACCCATAGACCCATAAGCCTTCAAACCCTAACCCCCTACACCCCAAACCCTCAACCCCGTAACCTCCATACCCTAAATCCCTAAACCGATCTTGGCTCAGCGGGACTTTTAATGCCTCTCCACCGGAGCGCGGTGCGAGGAGGCTGGATGCTGAGAGCATGAGGGTGCTCAGAAGTTGCCTTTGTAGTGTTCAGGGGTTTAGGGTTTAGGGGTTTAGGGGTTTAGGGGTTTAGGGATTAGGGGTTTAGGGTATGTATAGGGATCTTAGTGATAGTCTCCCAGCAGATCATCCAATGCTTGGACTGTTTCTACTTCTCTTGCACACTGCGTTCAGTCGCAGTAGGTTTGCCCGTTGTGCCGTTCTCATTTGTAGGAGAATCGTCCAATAATGAATCTTACCCCTTAGTGGTCTGGTTTTGGGGACGTTGGGTCATGAGGCGGGTGGGGGGATCACTATGTCTAAACTGTTTCTACTTTCCAAACCCTAAACCCTGAAACTGAGGCCCAGATGGCGACGGAGCTGGACCCCACCGATGACATGGACTGGCTCTCCGTGTCAGGGCAGCAATTGGAGACAAAAAACGGACAACTTGCGGGATTATGGGGGTTTAGGGTTTAAGGTTTAGGGTTTAGGATTATGGGGATATTGCTACCCCCAACGATTCCTCGTGAAAGTCTCCCAAAGATTAGGAATCACTTTTTCTGCCTTGTTCCATTATTTTTGAGTCTATACTAGGGCCCCCATTGTATTTGAAAACTACCATGTAGCATTTCCTCTTCTGATTTTTTTAATTTCTGCAGGGTAGATGGTTAGGGGCTTGAATTTGCAAATGTATTTTTGAAAGATCGTTCTGCCAAACCCATGCAACTGGCATTGCCCTAGACCCTAAACCCCAAACCGTAGACCCCAAACCCAAAACCTAAACCAAACCCTAAACCCCTAAACCCTAAACCCCTAAACCCTAAACCCCTAAAGCCTAAACCCTAAACCCTTAAACCCTAAACCTTTAAACCATAAACCCTAAATCCCAAACCGTTAAACCCCTAAACCTGCAACCCCCGAAGCTTAAGCCCCTCGCAGAAGGACTATGTGATCTCCGTCCTCAAGTCACCGACCTGGGTAGTCCCTATTCAGGAGCAAGATTTTGTGTGACGTGCTTTGGGGCGTTTCCCCAAGTTAGGGGTCACATAGTAGCTTCCATTTTATTTTCCATTATCCCTATATAGCCCCAATATACTATAGTAGCTTCCATTTTATTTTCCATTATCCCTATATGACCCCACTGTATTTGTGGGAAATTGCAATTTCCCGTCTGAGAATTCACAGCCTGCGCCCTGATAGGAGTTCATTGACCAAAATGCCATCCTCTTCGATGAAGCAGAGGAGCTGGCAGTGTCATCAGACATGCACCCCCTAAACCCTAAACCCCAAACCCTAAACCCCAAAACCTGAACCCTAAACCCTAAACCCTGTACTCTACAACCCTAAACCCCAAACCCTAAACCCTAAACCCTGAACCCAAAACCCAAAGGAGTCAATGCTCGAGCACACAACCTGCCACAACAACTTCAGGGAGTTGGTTTCCAATCTGCTCCTTTGCCACCTCATGGAGGTCTGGTTTTTTTTTTGAGTTTAGACTATAGGGTTCAGGGTTTAGGGTTCAGGGTTTAGGGTGTTAGGGTGTTAGGGTTTAGGGTTCAGGGTTTTGGAGTACAGGGTTTAGGGTTCAGGGTTCAGGGTTTAGGGTTTAGGGTTCAGGGTTTTGGAGTACAGGGTGTAGGGTTCAGGGTTTAGGGTTTAGGGTTTTGGAGTACAGGGTTTAGGGTTCAGGGTTCAGGGTTTTAGAGTACAGGGTTTAGGGTTTAGGGGTTAGGATTTAGGGCTGTTTAGCAGCAGCTTTGCCATCTTTGCCATGCCATGGCATAGGCCATGCTTGGCATTCTGGCAGTACCAGCCAACACGAGATTGCCCGGATGTGCTCGGTGAGAAGTTATCGAACTGTTGCATACTAGTTTCCATTTCCTTTTCCATTATCTCTATATATAACCCTTCCCTAAACTCTAAATCCTAGACCCTAAACTCTAAGTAGCCATTTTCTTTCCATTTTCGCATAAAATCGAATATTTTTAGAATTTAGGGTTTAGGGTTCCATTTCCCGCCAAACCACCAACTGCTGCCTTTGCAGACTTGCCGTCGTTTGACGCCTGCTGCCTATACCATAATATGCTATAATATGTTACATCATACTGTAATATACTATACAGTCCCAATGCATGCTCCAGGGTAGGTGTTAATTAGATGCGGGTCAAGAAAACCGCCTAATGCTGCTGTTGTGCACGAGCCAGGTGTCCATCACCGAAGAACAGTTCGACCGTTTTTGCCAGACTGGCCTCACGAAGAACCGTTCACTGTGGCTTGGCCTGGATTCTGGTGACATGCGCGTGAGTTTGATGGCGTGTGTGTTCGGTATTGTTTCGTGCGAATCTCCTGATGCAAGTTTTGAAGCGCGTCTGACGTGTTGTGCATCTTTTGGAAATGTGGAGCTGGTGATGAGGGATTTGTCACGATTCCCCAACAAGGCACCGTGCCCTGGCCGAGCAACTGCTGGCGGCAGAGGATTTCCTGAGCTTCAAAGCCATGTCTCCCGCCTTTGCTGTTCTTGGAAGTCGTTGCATCAATACTACTACTACTACTAATACTACTCTTACTAGTACTTCTTTTACTATATATGTATATATATATATATTACCTTCTTGTAAGGATGTCGAAGCACAATGCAGAGATTTGCCGGGCGGTGGCGGGCGAAGAGCCAGAAGGTGTTGCAAGCCTGGCGACGGCTGTCGTGAACCATGTCAGCACGGACCATGTGATGGTTTCCAGACATTGTTTTTTTCTTTTCGGAGTTGCTATGATATGTTCAAGCCCGTTATTCATGGACATTTCCATGCCTGTACTGCTTCGTTGCCGAAAGTTTACGCCGGGAGCCGCCTTAGGCGTAAAGTGGTGGCGCCATGGTTGCGTCTTTTTTCTCACGATACAGGATTATACAGGGTTATATGGTATTAATATATACGTATGAGTTATATAGGCCCGGGAGATGCAAGGATGATATAGGGATATATAGGGATATGCAACCCCCAATAATAAAGAATCCAATGTAAAAGAACATAGATAGGACAATGGATGGAAGCGGGGCAGCTGTGGCTTGTTTAGGGGGTATACTAGTTCGTATTTTCCTGGTATTGGTTCTGGGTAAAGGCGGCCAGTCAGTGAGCGAGCAACAGAGCAAACATATAAGCAAGAGGGGAGCACACGGCGGCAATTCCGCTGAAATGTGTAAAGCACAACCCCCAAACCCTAAACCACAAAACCTGAAACATTAAGTTAACACTCGATCGCCGACTCCAAACCCCAAACCCTAAACACTAAACAACCTCAAACCTAGAAATGCTGACTCCAAAGCCTTCCATTCAAAGCCAGCAAAAGCCATGAAGACCTGTGCTCGAAACTGAAACCTTGCAGAACTAGATTTGAGGTTGTTTAGGGTTCAGGGTTTGGGGCTTAACCCGCCAAACCCAGCTTATCGATACTAAGATGCTAAGCTTACACAGGGATTTGTGGGGCTATTCTACAGGGATTACATAGGGATTATACATGAATTAAACAGGGTCCAGGGGTATTACCCCACTTATCAAGAATCAAATGGAAAAGACACCGGAAACTTCAATGGAAACTAAGCCTGCCGCAAGCCCACAAACCTGAACCATTCGTGCAGAAAACTGCAAGTCTCAAAATCATGAACCTTAAACCCTAAACCCAATTGACTCTCCATTCTTGGCGGATAATGGCCCAATATATTCCTCTACAATTGCTGTTTTACACACACATATATATATATACTGTTTATTTAGCCGTACATGATTCCCAAAAATCATTTGGGAGCCTTATTCCCTTAAAAACAATCTCTAGAGTCTTCTAGAGTGTGAGTCTGCTCCAACAGCCTCAAAGCTCAAAACCAATGCCCTACAATCCTAAATTAGCATTTCGCAACATCACTCCCATGCAATGCCCACTGGCCACTGCCAGCATTCCCTTATAATCCCTATATGTTAGTTTCGAGTTAGCTCAGTTAGCTCCCCTGAACCCTACACCCTCATCCCATAGTCGTGCCACGGAGAAGAGGTCCGATAAAAATCCCTCATCCGGGGTCCCCTAAACCCTAAACCCTAAACCCTAAACCCCACTTAGGAAGAGCAGCCTCCACCAGGGGTTGCTTGGCGCGGATGATTGGCAGATGTATGATGATCAGCTGCTCGGTGCTGAAGGCCTGGCTTGTGCCTAAACCCTTAAATCCTCAAACCCTTAAAATCTAGGGTTTAGGGTTTAGGGTTTAGGGAACCCTTAAAACATAAGCACTCAACATGAGTTGAAAGCCGTCAGAACTCTAAGTCCCGGCAGTTGTCGGCGACGCCGTGGACTTCTCTGCCCTGGAGGCGAGGCCTTGCGCGGAAACATCTGCACACTGAAGACAGTAGTAACAATGTTACTAATTGTATGAATAATAGTAGTAATAATAGAATATTTGTAGTAGTGATAATCATAGTAATAGTACTACTACTAGCAGCAATAAGAATAGTAATAGTATTAGTAGTAATAATAATAGTAATAACATTAACAATAGTAGTAATTACTATGGTAGTAATAGTGGTCGCATTCGTAGTCAAGGGTTCCAAGTCTTGCTTGCAGTTTTTCATTGCCTCTCAATCCTGCAGGCTGAAGCCAAGCGAGAAGAAGCAGAATTGCAACAGGCACATAGAAGCTGTAGCTTCAGTCCATGTGAGCTACGGACCAAATTTAGGTTGGGGGGACCTATACGGGACTGTATAGGTGGTTTTTTTGGGGGACCTATTAAGGGATATACTACAGATTGAGTCCAGGGCTCATGTCTTTTTTGAGTTCCAAACTGGAGTGAGTATGCTTTCTTTCAATGAGTTGTCCATTCAGGCAGTGTTGGCCTGTATGCTACAGCCCTCTGAATCTGCTGCAAGGTTGCACAAACCCCAAAACCTAAACCCCTAGACCCTGAACCCTAAACCCTAAACCCTAGAAGAGCCAATGCCGACAGGCCATCGCGCTCTCCCTCAGCATTGAAGAGGAAAGGTTGAGGCAAATGGCAGCCAATGAGGCCTTTCCGCAACGTACCGGTGGTTAGAAGCGAATATGGGAATATAGTATGTATACATATTTAAAAGGGTTTAGGGTTTGGGGTTTAAGGTTTGGGAGATAGTGTATAGGGATTGTACAGGGATTATGTCGGGATCGTATTCCCTCATGCCCTACTAAGAACCATTATATAGATATAGTATGTATACATATTTGCAGGGTTTTTGTCTTCCCTTATTCCCTGCCCACCACGCTTAAGTATTTGTGAGACTGTCGGGCAGAAGGTTGCCACTTTGGACTTTGGGTTTGTTTTTGGTGCAGGAGGAGATACCAGACATCCGAGACCTGGAGCCAGAAGAGCGAGCACCCCCGCCTCCCCCCCCTCCCAGAGCAGGCTTCACATCAGCTCCGCTTTGCCATCTGCCTCCCAAGCCCTTCCCCGGATCTCCCAAGGCCACATCTTCCAGTGCCGCTCCCGCTCGGCTCCTCCAAACAGAGCCGCTGAAGCTGCCTAAGAAGCCTTGGGGCTTTACCTCGGCACCACTTATGGCACGGCCAGTGCAGCCGCCAGCCCCGCCACCTGCCCCAACCACGTCCCAAGACCCCTCTCCACCCCCAGACCCCAGTCATCCCACCCCAGCTGCGATTCCAAGGTTACCAGGCAGAGCAGGCTTCACCTCCTCGCCGCTGTGTACAGTGCCACCGAAACCTCGGGTAGCAGTTGGAGGAGTTGAAGCACTTGGAGGAACAGAGGAGCCAGTGCCACCCGTGCCACCTCCGCCGACAGTGGAGGAACGAGTTGCGACTCTACCTCCTGTGCAGGCGTTCCGCACCAACCTCCAGCTTTGGAAGCGTCGTGCTTCCGAAGCAGTGCAACCATTGCCAAAGCAATTGCGGGGAGCGAGAAGCCGAATGTTCTCTCCTCCCTCCTCACCAAAAAGTGCGGCAGGTGATTTCGTTGGTCTGTCAGAGGACAGGTCGGGATAGGTTGAGGGACATGTTCCCCTAACGCATGTGAAGTAGGTGCCAAATAGAGAGCGCCAAATTGATTGGTGCAGTTGGAATTGGAATCGGTTTGCAACAGGAGGAGCGCCAGCAGCGCGCTGAACATCTCAAACGGCAGCGGGATCGCCTCATCGAGAAACGTGCAAAGGAGCCTTTGGGACTGGCAAAAAGGAGATAAGGGAATATATTCCCTACATAATCCCTATTATATAGTCTCTATATACTCCCTTTATAACTAGTCCCTATATAATCCCCATATAATATAATATCTGTCAAAATGTAGCTGTGAACGCACGCGCGGGTGTTGCAGGACCGTGAGCAACAGCTGTCCGAATTTGGACGGGCTGCAAACCCTGTGGACCGGGAGGTGCATGGTTTAGGGTTTAGGGTTTAATTAGGGTTTAGGGTTTAGGGTTTAGGGTTTAGGATGTATATTGGGAGAATATTGAGGTTATATTAGGATAAAGGAAAACAAAATGGCAACTACTACAGGATATTGGGGTTACATAGGGGTAATATCAGGGGAACATTCGGGTTACATATGGACATAAAAAAGGAGAATCAAATGGCAAAGAAAATGGAAAAATGACATGGAAACCAGGAATATATTATACTATAATAGCTTCCGTTTTCTTTTCCATTCTCCTCCAATATACTATAGTAGCTTCCATTTTCTTTTCCACCATCCTCATATAACCCCTACACATTTCTCCAATATCCTCCAATGTACTATTACTATAGTAGCTTCGATTTTCTTTTCCATTATCCCAATATAGCCCCTATATAATCCCTATATAATCCCTATATAACCCCTATATAATCCCTATATAATCCCTATATTACCAGGCCCGTGAGCGTTTTTGGTGAGCGTCCCTCCCACAGGCGCAGGCGGCAATGGGCCGGCGTCGCGTCGCTGAGCTCAGTGGCGCGAGACTTGCCTCAGAGACAGCGCCCTCCAGCGCACAGCCTGAGGCATCGCTCATATTATGCTATGTTATAGTATACTACAGTATATTATGCTATATTATAAGTATGTTATAGCGTAGTATAGTAATTATAGTGCATTATGGTATGTTGTAGCCCGCTTGGGCTTGACAGGCTTGATTATGCCTCATGTTGTCTTGCAGTCGGCCGAAAAGCTTCGACAAGCACTGACCCGGCAGCTGCTTCAAAGCCTCGCACAGTCTTTGGTCAGTGACTGGGCTGCTGTTAAGGAATTATTTAGTTACCATACTAGGGGTATATAGCAAATCATAGGGTTTATTTATAACAGTAACTGAATTTAAGTTCCCAGGTGATGCTGACACGCTGGATGACCAACTTCACCAGCTTGAAACCATGCGATGGTCTGCCGCATGATGGTTTGCTTTTGCATCTTGCCGCGTCATGGTGCGAAAAAGCCACGTAGTACGCGATTTGTTGTGTACAATGTCCTTCACAGAGAACTAACTGGTTCGTAGTAGGGAATATGGGAGTATAATGCATACAGAATCCCTATACAATAATATATTCCGATATTCCCTACTAAGGACCAGTACGAAAAGTATTCCATCGCAGATACGTAAACCCTCAGTTTGTTTCCTGCAGGCCTACATGGACCTTGCAATTGGCAACAAGGCCTGGCACACGGAGGCGGGACAGCATAGACAGATATGGACAGCATCCCGCGCGGAGCCAGGATCAACTTGGAAGTAGCGTAGCAGCCGCTGTTTTTTATTTTTGCAAGTACTGTTTCTATGTTTTGTTACTATTCTCACTCTGCTTACATATTCTTACTAATTATTCTCACTATCAGGGCTATCTGCTGTCGGTTGTTGTGCACGAACAGTTCCTCGCATGGCGTTGCGATGGAAGGTCCCCACTCTCATGGAGGGTGGAATGGATGGCCTCAACGGCATTGAGCGAGGGCGTATGCTTCGCGCTTGGTTTTGCGCATAATGGAAAAGAAAATGGAGACTACTATAGTATATTGGGGGAATCTTGGGGTTATATGGGGATAATGGACAAGAAGATGGAAGCTACTATAGTAGAGTATATTCCCTTGTTTCCAATTCATTTTTCCATTTTCTTTTCCATTTGATTCTCCATTATTATCATAGTATAACCCCAATATTCCCCTGATATTACCCCTATGTAGCCCCAATATACTGTAGTAGTCCAACGCTTTTTTGTTGGAATTCCACCAGTCACCAGTCTTCCTGCATTTGGTATTGCCATGCTGCTCGAGGTGGAAGCAGGCCGCTGCCTTGTTTGCCAGGCTTTGCTTGATGAGGGTTTAGGGTTTAGGGTTGGCCCTGGAGAACAGATTGATCGAAGATTGTGCAACAGCTTAACGTTCCCGGGCTCAAGGTTTCAAGCAGGCCTTCATCATAGCAGGCTGAAATTTTGGGGGCACACACACCGGTTGTTGAAGAATGCTGGAGTTTCCCAAAATAAAGGGACCCCAATATAAACCCCAAAATAATATTAACCTTGTCATGAGGACCCCCAAAGGGGTACCCCCAAATTTTAGGAAACCCCCATGTTGCAAACTTGGTGAAATCCAAGGCAAGTGAGCTGTAGTCTAAACTCCTAGAAGGGGGTT